TGAATCATCGACTCTTGTTCACATGCTTCGTTATGCTGGCTGTACAGATACTCGTTTCGCCGCTCAAAGAAGATGTTCGTGACAGACAGTCCGTTGTTTGCACATGGGCGGCTAAGACAGAGTTCAGAGTTCAGTTATCCAAGACAACGTTGGTGTACAATCGCCTCTTTTCAAGAGTGAGAACTAACTGCTGCTATGGTCTGAGCACGTCTTTCGAGTGCCTCCATAAAGAAAGCAAACGAAACGTCTAGTTCCAGCTGAGCCGACCTGATGGGGACCCCGGAGACGGCCAAGAATGACCAGGCGTCATGTTTTGAGGGACTGTGCTCCAGACTAGACTCGAATTATGTTCTACCGGAGCCGAAACGCTCGCACGGCTATGGGAGTCTGTAGTCTGAAGCGTCTGCCTCCTGTGACGGACAAACGGTCATTCAAATTGACTGACTGAGTGACTGACTGAGTTTGAGTAGACAGTGTCCACAAAGTACTTCTACACGATTGTTCTTTCGCCGCTAGACTGACTCCTTGTCAAAATCCATGAAGTGATTAAAATATGAATAAGTGAAACGAGGAAACTTACAGGTCTGAGCATTGAGGTCGCACAGAGGAAAAAAGTAACCTAAAATAGTTGAAACGTTCCAAGACTCGTACCCGATCTTGTGTAGCTCTTCCAACGCTTCAAGGGTCTGAATACCCACGAACAGACTGGTGCGCAGCGTAAAGTGCGGTCGGCCGTTTGTGAACTTTGGGCGCATTGAACTCAGCAGACCGTTTATGGACGGGCCGACCGCCGTCATGACGATATAGTGGTAGTCGTTCTTCGTACCCTGACCGTAAATCTTGCATGCGTGGCGGGCTTTGATCTCATTCAGATCTCGCAGTGCATATACCTCGATCTTCAGCGTTTTGAACTGCTGCGATTTTATTTCAATCTTAAGATACATTAAAATTAAAGAAACTAATTAATTTAGAAATTGAAACGTATGCAACGACTTGAAGGAATAATGAGGAAAAGGTTCAAGTGCGTTAAAAGGAAAGTAAAAAACAGGATAAAAGTCAAGTTACTATATCTTCTAGTTAGAATTTTCTAAACTGTCCAGTTAGTTTCAATGTCGGCAGACAATTTGTGGTTAGTTAGGTCTATGTCGCCAGAACAAGTATCACAGTTAAGGCCTAAGCTATTAGGGCGAAGTACGAAAACCATCATGAAATGCTGAAAAAGAACAGAGTAAGTGTAATATAGGTCGGTGTAAGAAGTGCATGCAAAAAGAAAAAAACTGACCTCTTGTTGTTGCCACGGCTATTACTATAAGTGGTTCTAGCCGGTTCATACAACTCCTCACGACTCGACCGCTGCTTTGCACCTCTGACGATAGTACGCAATGTCCACCACCAAGTTCAACCTGTATTTCTTCCATTATTTGTACTTGTACATCGCCGGCCTCGAGAGGACTGCGGCTTCAGCTCTGGCAATATCCCATCAGATCTTAACTTGCCCACCTCATTTTCAGTGCCGTCCACGGATCAACATAGCGTTCGCTGTTGTTAGGAGAGGAGAGCTTATCTGATGGACATCTTAGCATGTACCTTAGCCAACTCAGTTGGCCTTCTTTCAGGGCAATGAAGAGCTGCATGAAGTTGCAACGGGAATGAACTGTGGCGTTTGATACATGATCGCGTCCGTCAGACTGATCACAAACATCAGCGGTTGAAGGATTCTAGCTACACCATGGCCTCAACCTTTAAGGCCTTATTGTTACATCTATAAAAGAGGAGGGGAACCTAGTCTGTGGTGACCTTCAGAGTTCGGCATTTCGTTTTCATGGCGACTTGCACGAAAACCCACTCGCTGCTGCTATCCAAGGCGTAATCCATCTTCAGACAGTTCATTGAGAAGAATGAAGAAACCAAGACATCGTAGAAAGGCGAATTCTTGAAAAATAGGGACACACAGACGGATAAGTTTTCCCTTGTTTCATAATCAATTAAGATAATACTTTCGTGTCTGCTGTAATGATTACTAGTCGCACTGACGTTTTGCAACGAAAACAATTGTCTCCTACAAATTCTGGCAAATTCTGTACACAGTGAGATACTTTACCTGAAAGATTTTTTTACAAATCCTATCAACAGTTTCGAAATTGCATCCTGAAAGTAATCTAAATGCGTGTCGGAATATACGCGAGAGGAGGAACCTGCATGAAAGAGGATGCCAACTGCCGAAACTTCGAATAAAAACAACGGCATCTTTCTTTGAGCCACCTACCGCTAAAAGAAAGGATAACGAATAGCAGTCTAAGCGCGATCACGAAATCCACTGATAATGACAAATGTCACTCCTTCTTTGAGGCGACAGGAATGTATAAGTCTAGACATTGTTACTCTGCCGGATTTCCAGATATGCACCACCCAGCATGCACGGAGGTCTCTACTTCGTCTTCACTTTCTGATACGATTCATCAGACATCGCCTAGATCGTTGTTATCGTTTTGCAGCGATTCTTCCTCGTCCATTCAGAAGGTGAAACGTGTGATAAGAAGAATGCACCAATCTTTCTCTGAAGATTAGTACCGACGGTGGTCACTATCATCCGGAAATGTGGCACGTACGATTTGTCCACATTTTCAGATGGTCAAATCTGAGAAGTTGGCCACAAAGACGTGACTCTTACGTACAGCGGATGCCATTTATCACTTATATTGCTAAAACATCTATGCTTTACTTTCATGGCTTCCAAACGCCGCGTTTTTAGGTCGAGGACTTCGTAAACAGCACCAAAACCACCTCTGCCCAATTCTTTCATAACCTGCCATCTACCGGCGACGATTTCCAGGCTCTTGACCACCTGAGGGATACGTTTGTCGTTGCGAGGCATCGTTTTTTTTTAGTTGAAGCCAATCTTGAATGACCTGCAAACAGCAGAAACGGCTAGCACACGGAACGACGTTAAAACAAAGACTGAGCCACTAGAACTCATAAGTCTTTACAGCATTACGAACGTGTGTGGTTTATACTTTCTGAAAATATTATGTTTACACACTTCGGTGTTTATTGCCGTTGTAACTTTTTAAACTATTGCAATTTAATGCCACTCGCGTTCCGTGTTCTCTCACGACGATCAGATTTGCTCATACAACC